GGTCACCCTGCCAGCTCAGCTGTCCCTCTGCCACTCCCCACAGAGCCCCTGGCCTCAGGGAGGGACAGGGACACAGCACTTCACCCAAGGATAGCCCTGTCCTGGGGCAGCCCCAGTGCAGGGAACGGTGCCAAAACCAGGACACGAGGCTGAAACCAGAGCCTGGTGAAGCCCTGTCCTGGCTGAGGCTCCTGCAGCTGGGTTAATGAAGTGAAAGCCACCCCAGCAGCAGCTCTAATGAAGATTTCAAGCCTGTTGTGAAGCCACATTGGCAAGGGTGGCACCACACAGGGCTGGGGCTGGCCACAGGCACCTCCAGCACAGCATTGGGAAGCAATGTCAGCTTTCCCAAGCCAGCTGAAAGCTCCTCGGATGTTCTGCTGCTTTGATTATTTGACAGGCCATGTTTTTTAAATTATTCTTGTGTAAATATTTACGCGTTTTTACAAGAACCATGCTTGGAGCAGCGGGCCTGCGGCAGATGCAGGGCCGGAGGGGAGGGGGCTGCACGATGCCTTGCTCCATCCCTCCTGCAGGTCAAACTGCCCCAAAACACTGCCCACAGACACAAAACTGCCCCAAAACACTTCCCACAGACACCCTGAGACACAAAACTGCCCCAAACACTGCCCACAGACACAAAACTGCCCCAAAACACTTCCCACATGCACCCTGAGCCCCAAACTGTCCCAAAACACTTCCCAAAGACACAAAACTGCCCCAAACTGCCCCAAAACACTTCCCACAGACACAAAACTGCCCCAAACTGCCCCAAACACTGCCCACAGACACAAAACTGCCCCAAACTGCCCCAAAACACTTCCCACAGATACCATGAGCCCCAAACTGCCCCAAAACACTTCTCACAGATACCCTGAGACACAAAACTGCCCCAAACTGCCCCAAACACTGCCCACAGACACAAAACTGCCCCAAACACTTCCCACAGACACCCTGAGCTCCAAACTGCCCCAAAACACTGCCCACAGACACAAAACTGCCCCAAACTGCCCCAAAAACTGCCCGCAGACACAAAACTGCCCCAAAACACTTCCAAAGACACCCTGAGCCACAAAACTGCCCCAAAACACTTCCCACAGACACAAAACTGCCCCAAAACACTGCCCACAGACACCCTGAGCCCCAAACTGCCCCAAACACTGCCCACAGACACCCTGAGCCACAAAAACCCCACTGGGCACCAAGGGCTGTTGGCAGGGTGGAGATCACTGCTCCATTGCCCACTCCCACCTCAGCACTGCACCCCAGCCCACCCCAATCTCAGAGCAGATCAAATAAATACAAAAAATCCCTTT